TCTTAAGCCCCCTGTATATTCCATCTGGAATTAATATTTAGTGCACAGTTTCGTGTAAAAGAAAAGGCAACTTCAAGTTTACAAGCATCCTGATACTGGTCTTGTCAATTATCCTATTGGCGATAATATTATTCATTTATCTTTGGTAGTATTAGTTGCTTAAACTCACGCAAACTAGTATCACTTATAAAAGAGGGTATACAATGTTCCAGAAAAAGAATTGTAATTTTGTATCTTACGTGGTTATCATCAATTCGAGGCGGTGAAGATTTGTTCTACGGAGTAATCATTTGTAACGGCAGAACTATTTGTATGTGAAGTGTAAGTAAATAAAATAGCGCAGCCCCCGCAGAATGCATTTTTGTGCGAGGTTTTTTTTTACAGGCAAAAGGTGTTGCTGATAAGGTATACGTTAGTTATACCCTTCGCAAACTCCACGGTCACAACCTGAATTTCATACCTCAAGCTTATTAGGTAGGACCAAAGTAAGTAGTTATAATAGGAACAATGAAAAGATGCGTACTTAATGTTCTTCCCTAAACAATTGGATTTTCTTAACAACGGCTGTCTACGGGATATTTCTCAGTGACGCACAAAAGAAATCCTTCAGCGTTTAGCTTTGTATTAACTGCAAAATCTTTACTGTGATAGAGATTGGAAGATATCCGCTCGGCAAACGCCAAAGTCGAGTATTTAGTGGCCTTTTGGCTAATCAAAAGGATAACTTGTTCAGCCCATCGTAACAAAGTTACCTGCGCCCACATTCAAAGAGCTGACTACTCGCCTCCTGAATTGTCTTCTTCCATTAGGTAAATTATTAGAAATTATGATAACCAAAAATGCTCTCTAAAGGACCATTTAGCAAAATGCTACAATGAATAAAGGTCCTATATGCTTTTTATTTGAAATTTTGCGTCAAATATAAGATTAATGAAGGATACCACATCCTAGGGTTTCTTTTCAACTTTAGCCAAAATATTGGCTACCAACTCGTTAAACATAGAAGCCTCACACTCACCCTTGCAACAAGTTTTTCCATTATAAATCCAGGCCCTGATGGTCCTATTATAGCGATCGGTTGGCCAGCAAACAGGCTGTAGAGTATTGTCTGGAAACCGCTTGTCAGGATACTGTTAGATACGGAGTATGCTGAGTTCACTTGGGTAGCTAAAAGGTACATTATTGAAAGGTTAAGCTAGAAATAAACTAGCTTTTGAAAAATGATGATAGAAATGAGTTGAGGGGTTCATTTTCTGACAGCCGATAAGGCATTTAACTTTATTTTAAACGCCTCATACTACTAGAAAAGGGGCAAATCGTTTCGTTGTCACTTTTTCTGTTTTTATACCCTCGTTTGAAAAAAACCTCGGTCATTACGATGGTATCTGGTAGATCAATTCAGAAACTTTTCACATATAAGCAACCTAATCAGATGGCTTAATAGATAAAACGGTCTTACGAATAAATTTATCAATAGGCGCCTATTGCTTTATGCCAGATTGCATTTAAGAGGTTCTTTAGACGAGGCAATGAACTACCTGCTCTGTTTTGTTGCTCTCAGAGCTGATGAACACTGAACTACTCCGCGATTATTATTTACTGACATGATGAAGTGATCGAAAATACGTATTGGTTGGAATCTCATATTAGGGCTCCCCTAAGAGGCTGCGCAGGACGATCGATATTAATAGGAAATGTTAATTTTAGACGCTTTTTGGTAGAGAAAATGTAGTTTTTTTAAGCATGTGAAGGGATATATGGACTGTTTGCGCCGTGTACTTGCTTTAATATATTCAAATTGGCACCTGGTTGGTAGATGATACCTTTGTTTTTAATGTGGCCCTTTAGACTCCTCTCTGGCATTTTTGTGAAATTAAAGTCGAAGTTGCGATATTTAAGCTCAAAATAATATAAGAAAAGAGGTTAATTAGAATAATACGAACACATCAGAGTGCCGAAGGTGATGGCCGGTGAAAAGATGACAAAGTAGACGAAGAGGATGCTTCCGACAGCCACGGTGGCATTGCCATTGACAAATGCATCCTTAAAGTCGCTGGGGTAGCGCTTAATTACAGCAACAAGTCCAAGTGCGAGATCACGAAGGGGTGGACACATTCGATGAAAACACCTGCGAGGCGCTGCCTTTATCTGATCCTTCAGGGAAACCGATTCGATTTCCTCAGGTTCATCTGTAAAGTTCAAAGCATACAAGCATGAGGATAGGGATGAACGAAGAACATTACTGCACATGGAAATGTCCGAAAACTAAAAGTATATCAATGATATTTTGTGTGACAAAGACATTATACAGTACTCTCGGCATAGCTAGTAGCTTAAATCTCAGAAGTGTGTTTCGCCCATGTTCCTGCTGCCACCAGACCCAAAAACGAAGGCTGCGGCCTCGTGGTGGATTCCCTAACCTTCTCTATGCGGTTTCTGTTATATGCAATCCAGAAATTAATAAAGGGAGCAATTTTAGAAAATATTAAATGCATGAGCTGAAGGTTATTGGCCTGAACATGACATTTTATTGTCAGACCTAAAATGTCAATTAAAATTAGATGTAAAGACATGAACTAATCTGGAGTAATCATTACGGTAGGGTGGGGATTACCTGGTTATACCCAAGTAGTTGGTTATCCACAACTCATGTTCATTGAACTTTCAGATGTCATCTTTAAAAGTCCCCTCCTGGTCACTTATCTCCGTGTCACGTCATTTCTGAATTTACTCCCTTGAAACTGTGCATGATAAGCATGCAAATGCATTGGGTTCGGAATACATATTTTCAAAGTCTCCAAGTGTCATCTAATAGACACTATTTCGCTATCAGAGCAATTTATTACGAAATTAGCAGACATACTTTACTCGCTGCACTCCATGCATAAGACAAAATCACTACATTTTCAACTTCGAAATTTCATTTTACTGTAACAAGTATTAGCGGACCTAACCGAATGTACTCACAATATCTTCAAACTTCCTCTACGTTTAGGCGTTTAATGAGGACTTTGGTTTTTTTCTAGCTGTTGGATTTAGTAATAAATGATTTATATAATAATGGAATCAAAGCATTTTGGCCATTGCTTTCGCTTACTAAAAACAGGACGCTTTCTGGAAACTGTTCAATAGAGGTGGCATTGACGATCTAAATGTTTTTTATCAGATTGCATTGCTCTACATTTTCGTAGCATCAGTCCTTGTAGCAGTACCAAATACACATCACTTCGCATGAGGATGAAGCCGTCAGAAGGCCATTATCGATGTATAATGGCCTCTTTTCCGATTAGAGCAACTAGCTAGTAATGCTGCTGTAGTATTTTCGTCTGCCCATAGCAAGAAATGTTATCCTCAAGCGTAAAAAGGGTAAAATGGTGAATGTTGCAAACCTTCTGCCACCTCCACCTCTTCAAATGGATCGGATTCTTCGGATGCACTGCTCCTTCCGCCGCGTTCAAGATCATCGCCCTGGAAAATCCAGTGGCATAACTGGTACTTGCACGCAGCGTAAACTTCGTCTCTGCTGACCGCTTTCTCGCAGGCCTGGTAAAATGCCTGTTAGATGTAATCGGACAAAAATTAGGAATATATCTCAATCTAATCGCTGAACTTTGATAGATAAAACTAACCACACTTCTTTTTACTAAAGGAAATGCTTTTAATTTATGCACGATTTTGGACTATCGTAAAACAACTCTTTCTTAGTATTTGTGTGGGTTGAATTAAGGAACCTATACAAAGTTCAGCTACGTACTTTTTCCTAACATTTCAAGTTCATTAATCGTTGTTGCCCACAAAATACATTCATTATCAGTATGCTTTTATGTGCCATAAACTTATGCAAAATTGTCACTGAACCTTCAATAGGTGTCAAGTACTTGGTCGCTTAAACTGTTTGACTTTGGACTTAGCACTTTGAATTTCCCACTACCCAAGCAAGGGATACCGGCTTACATGTCGTCCAAATGTGAAATATTTAAAGTAAATATTTAAATATTTTAATTAAATCCTTTGGCGTTGGTCTTGAAAATATTCAGCTGCAACTATGTGTTCCCAGTGGGTTTTTGAAAGGCAAACCGTTTAATATTTTAATTATTCTGAAGAACGCAGGAAGAAATCTAATTTTTCAATCCAATAACTCGAATTTAGAAAACGCAAATTCAACAGTTCTAGCCGGTATTACACCGGCGGGCGTTTCCAAGAAGAAAGAGGGGGACGGAAGCAAGTTTTCGTAGGCTGTACGCGCCATTGCTACTTAAGTTTGCTCCGATAAGCAATTACTTTGTAGGCAGGAATTTCTAATTTGCAAATCACCTGTTCAATGTGAGCTTCCCAAGAAACAACTGCATAATAAAGGCACAATACAGAAACCCAAGACAAAGTACGTCTTTGTTTTCTGTATCTTACTCGTTTTGTTAATAATGTCCCGAATATGCGTCCAGTTGTTACCGCCTCTTGGACAAACTCCGTCTGTGGTGTCATCGAAATGATGAGGAATTGCAAAGGGCGGGGAACTTCGACCAATCCGTCTGCCTCTACCGGTGTTTTAAACCGCAGAACTTGGAACATAGGACTTTCCAGATCGGGAGAACAGCCGGCAAGAATACAGCATGATGTTGACGTGGGTGAAAGACATCTGGTAAGGTCCTTGTTCATCGGTATCTACAGTAATAAGAGTGTTGATCAAAAATTAATGTAAGATATGTAACGTAGTAAGGTCAGTACTAGAAGCAATAATTTCGTAAAATTCACTTTTCGAAATTTCTTTTAAGAATTGATGGTCGAAGCATTGGCTTATGCCCTTCAACGTTAATAAATGTAACTATTTTTCAAATCGGCATTTATAGAACATCGAATAAAAATTTAGCTTCTTAAAGGGTGCACCGCTGCCACAAGTTGACAGTCAGAAGGACTGGGGAGAGTGGATTACGTCTTTACTCAAACCCACGTTGAACTGCGCGGAGCCGACGAAATAAGCCAGATTTATATTGCAGCTGATTATATGAGCCTTTATGGGTTTTATAAAAAAAGCTTTTCTAAGATATTTGGAAGTATCGTTCGGCCGAGCATAGAATTCGTTATAAAGCCATAGAGATCCTGGACTGACAAAGATTATACCGTCTTAGAGAAGGTCCATAAGCGAGCTATAAAAATGGCCGAGGGTCTGGGAACATTGCCGACAGTCAACCCACAACCTAGTCTATCTTTCCTACGTGCAACTACGAGGGAATTTCATAGTAACCTTCTGTTATACCAATGGTCTGGATCGTTGCTTTTTTTCCCTGACATGGTTCTTGGCAAGGCTAACACGCCCACTTTGCGTGACCATTCACTAAAACTACGCCCCGTCAAATCATGGATCGACTGACGTAAATGGTTCCTTAGTAACAGAGGTTGCAGCGTGTAACGCCCTTACCGTAGAGGTAAATCTCTCCGCTTGTGTGAAAAGATTCAGGGGCAAACTGGACATGCACCAAGCACCTCATTCACCGGCCACTGGCTAAAAAAGTGAACAGACTATTACACATACTTATTATCCAACTCGTGCTCAGTTAGTAGCTAGCCAAAACTGCTCGTTTTTCGTCTGCAAACATGCAGTTCACGTTTTTATCAATTTTTCGTTTCCATCCCTATATTTCCTAGCCATCTTAATATTAATAAGGAATGCAAAGGAATTTGCATATATTTTCCTCAAAAAAACTGATACTGATGTTACTAACGACCTTTCAGTCTATTTCTTTTAGACATATCACGTAATGTCCTGAAGTTTGCCTTTTAGAGACTGATGCCAACTAGGCGTTTATGTTAGTCGCCTGTTTTATATTAACGTTTATTGCCACATTACGGTTGGCCTGACGGCTAAACCAGTCCCTCCTGCTTAGTCTCGACAGATATATGTATGCAAATTCTAAGGGTTATGTTATGCTTAGCCCTGCTTTTAAGGCCGCACAGATCCAAAAAGCTACTGTGGTCATTATTATTTGAATATTTAAACCGATCTATATTTAAGGGCTGCTTTATTTTCAAAAAAATGAGTTTAGTTTTTTGGCTATTTCGAATGATTGAAATGTGCTCTAATTCTACGTGGGGGGTGTTTATAACCACGTTCTCCAATATAATATATAGCGTGTAATTGTCAGGAACACTTCTCAAACAAACATGTTAACCAAATTACTTACTTCCGACGACCGGTGGCTGTCAGCTAAAAAGGTTAAAAGATGTTTGTAAGATTGCTATTGCAATTCAGATAGAGAAAATAAAAAGTTAAACTATACATTTATTTTCAGACTATGTTCATTTTAAACATGGCATCTATGCATGTGGAGGTGAATACTGTAGTCGTATGTACTTGCTGTAAACAGTGGGTTTCATGGTCTGCAGCTGGCGGCAAAGACGGAATGGATGAAACTCCGAGGGAACAAATTTGTAGTCAAACAGCCAATAAAGAGATCGGTTGGTGACCCAGTGTCATAGACCACTCTCTGCCAATAGATGGTCATTCCGCCTCTTTTATGAATTGTCCCCAAAAGTGTTCACTCGTCCTGTCACCTACATTGTCCCCGTTTAAATGCTTAAGTACTGTTCGAGCGATTGCGCCATCATTGCGATTTCCTCTTTTTATAAGGAGGACAATAACCTCTTTCGCATGACTGCTAACTGAGCTCGTAGTACTCCACTTTAATAAAAACATGAGGTTGACTAATGGCCGACTGATTAATACGAACGCGGTGGAACTGAGCACATCGGTTGGTACTATTATTGTATGTTTGACTCCCAATTAGCAAAAATAACGACGGTCTTAAACAGACTTTCAGGACGGCAGCATTTTTATCACAGACAGTAATAAAGCTCCCTCTTGACTGCTACCCAATTTTGTGGGTTGTATTTAATTTCACAAAACGAACTGTTCCTTTAAATCCATATTTTGGGAGGTATTAATTATTCTACAAACTATATTGCATTTGTGAAATACAGCACCCGCTTTCTTTCCCTTAATTCTCATTTTCTACTCGGCATGTATCTGAACCGTCAAACTGATATGAAAGAGCATGCTACTTGTTTAAAGGAAACTCGGATAGCCTTACGGTTTATGCCCGGGCAGGCGAATATCAAATGCTGGCTGCATTATTCCATGGACTAACGAACGAAGGCAAAAAAGAATTTACTGTGTTAACTCGTTCACTGTTTCAAGGAAGCCCGCTACAGGTTCAGCACGGCACATAGATTTACCTGTATAACAACAGTGTGCAATCCAACCGATACCTTTGTCGAGTAAGAACATTCGATGTTATTATGTGAGCTAATATGGGAACCTGTATCTAAATAAAGGTTAAAGTGCAGTGATGAGGCATAGCGTGAGATTGTAGAAAACGTATTTGTCCGCCTGCGTGAAATGTTTTTTTCTTTAATGTTAAATTTGCCTTATTGAATCGGGTTTACAGGCGTGGTTGGTAGTACGCTGTTTGGCATGCTTGTCCATGCAGTTTTTACCCTTAAAGTTTATATGATTTTTGTAGATGTCAAGTTTATTTTTGTGATATTTTTTGGTGGGGGCATAGTCTAATCGGGATTTATTGAACCACTGCACTAAAGAAATATTTTGCGCATGTTTAATAGGCCTTCTTTGATTAGTACACTAAATGTTAACTTCTGCTCTGTTTTCCAACACAAATTAGTGACATATATGTAGCTAGTTGCATGCATATGAATAGGAAAGCTATATTATATATATATATTATTTTTTATGTCATTTATGTTTATGTGAAACCAGAAATTTAAATAATCCTAGCAGTACTCATTTCTCAAAAGCTGATCAAATCTCCATTGCTGCGTGCTAGGTCCAAAGACGATAGTGGATTTCATAAAAGACTTCATGTACAAATCAACAGTATTACTTACTTGATAGCTTTCGAAGAACCCTGTTCTGGTTTGCTACTTGTGGATGATAAAATGGAATGCAGTAACCACCACGTGTGCTACTCATTAGAAGTTCGTCCGACTTTGAACAAATCGGGGGCAGGCCATCAAAGGCTTCCTCAACTGTGGCGTAGTCCGCCACCTTGAAAACAAGGTCTGCAAAAAAGAATTTTTGTAACGTTCATTTTTGATTGCTTGTATATCAGTTACAATCGAGGTATATTCCACCTAGTTTGGTAGACATGTGCAGAAGTGCGTTAAAAAGAGAATTAGATAGCAACTAACTCCGGTGGCTTTACGTTATATTACAGCGGTAACCCCGTCCAATGCACTACCCGGACCGGTGGTTTTCCTAGAACCAATGTAAGAGAACGCAGAACAACCTGGACCTGGGAATCGGAAACGCCTCATACCAAGTAGTGCGGTTTGGGTCCCACGATGCCGAAACTTACTAGTTTTTTTATAAGAAATGATTGCTTTATTCATTGCCACATGGACGAGGCAACGCTTGGGCTGTTGTCAGCCGACAGTTACCTGCGAATTTTGCTTCTTACCGACCACTGCACAATAAATCAAATTATTTTTAAACGTTCTTCCCTATACTTTGTCCAGTCTATAGATGAGCAAGCTGAAAACAATTTAATCACTGGTTAGAGCACACACTTTCGCCATACGCTCTAATGTTGACTTTCAGAACATGCACCAATTAGGTAATAGAAAGGGTGCCCCCGTTTTCTCTCAAAGTTTATATTATGCAGCCACCCTGCACGATCCATCTGCTGTAGACCGTCCTCTCTAAGCGGAATACTTTACTGCAAAGCTTTCACAACAGGACCATTACTAGTGCTGATGCACTCATTATCGGCACGTATTCCTTCTGCTAACACCAATTTTACTTGCGCAGATTACTAAACGACCGCCCCTCCCATTCGCTTTTCCTCAGCTCGCAGCCAGATGATAGCACTCAGCAGTAGATAAAGGAAACATTGCCAGACTTACCTTTCTTAATTTGGCTTCTGAAGATGCTGAGATCCTCAAAAGTAAATTTAGACATCTCCGGCGGCGCGAATTCGCCAACGGCGTCGTCCAAGGCCTCCTCCATCTCCACCCAACGGTAGCGTTCATGCCAGTAGCGGCATGACACAGTTGCCGTATCTTGCTCTGTTTGCCAATTCCTTGGTACCCCAGCTGTCAGTTCGGAGAGCTCGATAAACATGTTAGCACTTGCTCGGCTAGGGGTCCCATTCTCAACGTCCATTTTGAAAAACTGCACAATTCAAATCTGAGGATTTCCACGCACGCAGTCGACTTACAGCATCTAAGGACACAAGACAAAATGGTCAAAACGCAGTGAACTTAACGGGAAAAAACAAAGCTGTTTGCATGGATGATTGTGCAATCGTCTAGACAGAGACAGGAAATTGGGCAAGCTTAACCTTTTTTTGCTTAATTCGGTTTGCAGTACACAGACTCCCCTATGTTCACTCACTGCTTCTTATTGTATACGTACTAATAAACGTCAACTCTCAATTTCCACATCCTGTCCTATAGAGGCTATCTGCACTTCAGTTGTGCGACAAAGCGTCCCAGTGAATGATTTTTCGATAGTCCCGAAATATCTGCTGGTCTACTTTAAGAAATCATTTCATTTAGACAAGGGTCATATTCTTTGCTTTTAAGAACATATTTGTGAATAATCATGGGCAATGTTCTCTGATATAGCTTGTCGCATTTTAATAAAGATTGAAGTACATATATAGGAACTCTGTGTATATGGTACTAAAATGTCGTCCGCGTGAGTAATGCGCAAGTATCTATCGCGTATAAAAGGTAAAGGAGCGTATCTAGAAAAAAACGCAGGGCGTTTTTGATTGGCCAGTAAATTGATATCGTGAGCACTGTTAAAACTGCAATTTATGCTCTATGTTACAAACGGAATTTGTTGTTTGCAACTTCGGTCCCACATTCGGCGTACAAATAACTACTAAGGTTAGGTTCTGTTGATAAAAGAAAATGTTGCATTATGATAGCAACATAAGAATGGGGAGAAACACTTTTTTGAGGGAATTCCTAAAATGAATTTCTTTAGTAACCAGTTTTTATCTTGTTATATTAAATATTTATATTTTGCGTACAATGGGTTGGGTTTGGTACCTGAATGACAGGCACCTTAGCTCTTAATGGAAACTAAAATGCACGTCTTAAATAAAGTCAGAGAATATACAAACAAAAGGGAAGCAGTGGACCGTTTTTGCGGTCAGAGTTTCCTTGCTGTAAGTCTGGGCAGTGGATATGCTATGCGGGAAATGTAAACTTACAAAACATTTACATTTTACTAAAATTCGACTATTGCTCACTGAAGTTTGAATTGCTTGATTACTATGCGTGTTCACAATTATACCACTTTAAATAAGAGAAACTATGCACAAGTTTTATATAAACAGGCTCAGCGTTGATTTCGACGACGCGTTCCGTCGTGTGGTTCACAGCAGGATGCTGCAGGAACGGGGACTTTTGCTGCTTCTCTCTGTCTCACAAACTGGCAGCGTATGCTCAGTTTTGGTATATCACGAATCAAGTTCATGTCGACTGTTATCGTACGCTCTAGAGTCAGCTTCAAATGCAATTTGTAGAGCCACCATTTGTTTTCACCTAGAAGACTAACCGGCTTTTAAAGTAGGAACGTACTCTTTGTAAGGTATTTCTCTGTTCCCACAGCTGATTCAAATTTTCGTTGGTGCATTGGTTAGTTCGTCGATTCTAATGTTAAGTAACTTGTTTAAGGTAAGCAAAAGTCAGTTACAACACGGCCTGCAATTATGTTCTTTTCGTACGGATTGTTCACCTTGTTGACATGTATATAAAAGCTGGGCTATTGGGCATTTAAAAAGGAATTACCGTCTACTACAATGTTTTTATCATAAGCCGTAGCTTAGATAAAAATAGTTTTAGATGGGAGCGAAGGAATATCATTGATAACGGTGTTTAGAAAAATAATTTATGAGAGAGCTCTCAACAGTTTACCTGAAATACTTAAAAGTGATTTTGACTGAAATAAATCGTGGAAATGTTCATTCTGCATCATGTGATTCATTTGTAGCTGCATACCTTGTTTTTCAAAACCAAGTACCATATAAGATCTTTGAGTGTGATATTTAAAAATTAATGAAGGAAAACGAATAAGCTCTCATCGAGCATACTACTCACCCGCTGTACGTCTCTGAAGGTATGAAGTAAGTGCCGCTGGAGGGCACCTTAAATCCATTCGATTTAAAACGTGACGTCGAGGTCACCTACTGATTGGTCAGAATTTAATCCGAATTAAAGAGCAGCCTGGAATCTCACGAGTGACGCTACAGTAGGTGCACTATCTTATGAAATCCAACGATTTTTACAAGTAACTCCCTCTTACTCAAACGCAGCCCA